GTGTGGGGTCCCCCCCCCCACTTTCAAAGGCAGGGAATGATGTTTGTACGGTGCAGCTGTATGCAAAATGTCACCTGTGCGTTGCCTTCACCCTCATGCCTCTTGCTCCCAGGCTCCATGAAACTATCCTGGCGTCTTATCTAGCCTCTCTGGGTGAAAGGAAAAATGAGAAAAAAGACAGAAACATGAACTTCCACCATATTGAACACGGTAAGCTGGTTCCGTATATTCCTTAAAGTCTGGTAACAACCCTTTGACAGCGTGTTCATCCCCGTTCATGGGAGTCAAGCAGACCGTCGGAGCAAGGCCCCAGGCGGCGCAGCGGCCGCGCTGGGGTATGAACCCGCCGGCACGGACTCCGAGTCCGTGCAGGGAACGGTCGTTGATCGATCGTTTGTCATTGTCCCCAGGCTATTTCAGCACCGCCACATTTTAGTAAACTATAAGGGACTCCCATGCCACCAAATTCCCTGTGTGTCATATTTAAACATCATATCAAAACATCATTTAACTTATTAGACAGACCAGAAATTACCATCAACAACATACAGTAGTGGAAAAAAATAGATATACTGTTGTAGGTGAAACACAAGTTTATTCTTACATTATTACTTATTAATTGCTGTATTATTTTTCAAACAACTGTACACTTACGTTTGCCCACCCTTATATTTATTTCTGTGGAGAAAAATTTTTTTCAACATGTGCACTTGAAAATAGTCAAACCTCGGTTCTCAAATATCTTGGTTCTTGACCAGGTTGTTCATGGGAAAAAAAAGTGTCTAACAAAACTTTGGGTCTCGATTCCCTACCTGACGACCCTTTCATGCTGGTGCCTCGCAGGCGCCAATCAAAGGAGATTCCATTTTCAAACAAATCACTTTTTGAACAGTTTTCTGGACAAATTAACTTTGAGAACCAAGATTTCACTGTATGAGCCACATACCTGCTTTGATTCATAAACTGAGAGTTGGGACTTTGGGCCTGCTCAGCTCACTTTGTTCACTAAAGTAAGACCAGAGAAAAATAAAACTCTAGTGGAGATAAGGAATTCCAGAGATATTGGTACAAAGTACCTGCAAGATATTTTTAAACATTAATATGCACTATTTTTCTTTTGAGAAAAGATGTAATCATATATGGAAAAGAAAAAAGCCAACCCTTACATAGCTCTAGACGCCATTTTGGAAAATGCTCTTCTGACTTTAGTTTTGTATTTCTTCTTTTTTTTTTATAGCAGCCAGTTCTTCACTTCCCAGCGAAACTGTGAAATTCGACTGGGCATGGCAGATTGAGTAGAAATGTGAATAGTATGATTTAATGCTCCTGCGAGTCTGAAATGTTTTCTTGTTAGGCCTTTTTAGCAACCCTTCCCAACAGTTTGTATGCATTTCCTAAAACCAGCTCTCCAAATTTCAGTCCATTACAAAACACACAGATCACTCTGATTTTCATAAGGGTAATAGGCATTTTTTTTTTTTTTTTTTGGTAAAACACAGTCCAGTTCTCATTTGACTACCAGCAAAAAAATGTGTATTGACAAAATCTTCACAGTTTCAAAATCTTTTGTCCAAGCTGCAATATAGACCCTTTAGCAAAATGATTCAAATATATGGTCTAGGACATTATTTTCAATTCTTTTAAAAAATAATATTGAAAAAGAATATGGTATGTTTAAAGAACATTTTCATTCATGCTCTGGGCTTCTGTGCTATGTCTTTCGTGGTGCTGGTTAAAAACATTTTTATATACACAGAGTCACTGGGTTTACAATCAGTTCCAAATCGCTTCTTACTTGGAGCAGATTTTCTCATGGCCAAGTTCCTGTGGCATGCTATGGCCATGCATTTGTTTATTGGGACATCCTTCCTTTTTTAAGGTTGTACAATGGATGGAATAGTTAATCATGGATCGGCTGGCGTCTGTAATGGAAAAGGGAGTTTTCCTGATCTCTTGTGTGGCTGCAGTCATAATATTCCTGCAGCTATGGTGTCACCTATTGTAATTTTTCTGCTAATAAACAAATTTCAACTAGCCAGGAATCCTAAATTTTGAGGCTAGTTGTTTATCTCAAATATACTCCAGAGAAATAGTAATGCAGTTCTGCTTTGAATTTAATTTAAACAGGAACAGGCCAAACAAATCTCTATGGAGGACATTTGACAATAATAAAATATTTCTCCCAGCGGGTGAGCTGGTAGCAATTGCATTGTTGCAATCCAAGCCCACGTTTCAGTAGGTCATTACCATCATAACAAGCCCTTGGACCAACTGGGATGGACATGCAACATTGAGCCCCTGATGGGCACATTATTTCAGACCTTTAACTTCATGGAGAACAAGACAAATACTCCTGGGGAAGGGGGATTATATTTTGAAATTCCTTTCTTTTCTATTTTGTTTCATAATAAGATGTAGTGTGCAATCAATCTACTGTCATTTGATTGGTTTTGTTGTTGTTTTTTCTTCCTCCACACTACCAAAGAGCACGAGGCTAGACAGAGATTTGAAAGGGCCGGAAACACTGATTTAAACACTTCTACATCGATGTGACTATGGAACTATCTATTCAGTACGTGAACCACTGTAGACGAAACAACAACATATCTAAGCATCTCTCCTTTGCCTTTTACAGATTTATCACAAATTAAATTTCACACTTACCAAAGTGCACCTGCAGTTCTGGCACAGGCCCAAGAACAAAGTGACGTCTCGGCCTAGGCCTCTTACCTAAGTCAGCGACTTGGAAAATGGAGGGCGGTAAGTCACTCCAAGAAATCAACTTTGTCCTAAATTTGTTGCTCTTTCGTTTTTTTTATAGTACGAAAAAACAGGTATTTTGAACTACACCTAAATCCATCCGAAAGCGTATGAAAGGGCCAAAGGAGCAGGAGTAAAAGTTTTGGAAAAGATTGTGACATTCTGCACCAGTTTGTTTTTAGCAGGTGTCTCCATGTGTACATGGGGCAGAGCCAGAAGACGGAGCTTGGGAGTCCCCAATGAGACGCGTTCTCCAGGGGTGCTAGGAAACCTGCATACCGACCGGAAGGGCAAACGGGGCGGGGGCAGGGGCGTGCGAAAAGATCAAGGGTATGGCATTGGCTTTGGGTTTGTGAGTTTAGAAGAAGTCCATTGTCTCGGTGTTTTTTCTTAATCATCACCCAAGGATTTTTTTTTTATATTACTTCCAGAGAGAGGGGAAGGGGCGTGGGGGCGGGGGCGGGGGGCCGGAGAAAGAGCAGCGAGGGAGAAGCATCGGTGTGAGAGAAGCATCGATCAGTTGCCTCCCACCGATGCCCTGACCCTGGATGGATCCCAGGACATTTTGGTGCCCAGGACGATTCTCCAGCCAACGCAGACACCCCGCTGGGGGCTTCTCTCAATATTTTTTTTTAATTGGTCTAAAACCTTCACAAAACTCAGAGCCAATGTATGAAAAGTTTCTTAAAAATTTTAGGACAATCCTGGCTGATTTGAGAAATGCATAAAATTTAAAACTGTGGTTTTCTCCTCTTCACATTAGAATCACCTGGAGATTTTTTGTTTTAATTATTCCAAAGCCCAGGCCACGTCTTAGAACAATTAAAACCCAGTCTTGGGGGATGTGGAATATGAGCATCAGGAGTTCTTAATACCCTTCAGGTGATTCCAATAGGCAGCCTAGTTTGGAAACCAGTATTTTAAAGAAGAAAAAATCACTTACAAACAACAGGTGCGAAAGGAAACAATCCCTTGACACAAACAACAGAACCCACTTTGTCAGAGCTACTCGTCGTTTCTAGATCCAGTAAAATAACCTGCTAAAATACCCCAAACCGACTTTGTTATTTCCTTTTACACCCGAGGCATCCCCGGTGAACACAGCAGTATGGGGCGCGGGGTGGGGCGGGGAACGCTCTGCAATAATTCTACATTATAAAAACCAGCGAAAGAATCGTGACACGTACGTTCTTAAAACGCCAGTGTGAAACGTCGGTGTTTTCAAACGAGGACGCCCCCGGAAGACCACAGGCATGCTTTTTCCTTTTAGGTTTGTGCCTGCATTGCCTCTACTCCGCCTAAGTACTTTGAAAATTCCCCCAACACGCCAGCTCCTGGAAAGGACGGGAACCGAGGCAGGAGAGTGCGGTGGCTCGCTGGTGCGCCTCGGTGCTCCGGGTCACCTCGAGCCGCGGCCTCCGGTGCGCCGGCGCCTCTCGAGAACCAGCCACCTCTGCAAGGTGAGAAGCCCAGCGCGCACGCACTGACACACCACTCACACGAGAGGCAGAGGGGACAGGAACGCACATATTAGCACCTCGGTGACGGCTCCGGGGGGTCCAGGGGACGCGCAGCCACCCCGGGCAGCCAGTGCTGCGGCCTCGGAGCGAAGCGGGCCAGGGGAGGCCGTGCGCTGTCAGCGCGGCCGCTGGACCGGCTGGAGCCGGGAGGCGCGCCCCGCCTCCCGCACGCGGCGCTGTGCACTCGGTCGATTTCTCGCTCGGGAAACCTGGTCGCGTCGCCGCGGCTGCCGCCGAACGAAGGCGGGCGGCTCGCCGGCGGGAGCTCCGTGCGCACGCACGAGAGGCCAGGAGTCGCTCGTTTTCGCGTGATCCTAAAATAGGGGGAAAGTTTTCTGTTATGACATTGCCACCGAGGCGATGATTTTGAGTAATGCAGGATGATGCGGAGATGCTTTCAGATTAAGGAAGAGCTATATAAAGGCTTGTCAGAATGAATTCTAATGTGCCACGAGACACTTTGCATACTCTTAAATATGCAAAATGTCTCTTGGCACCCTAGAATTCATCCTGACAAGCCTTTATATAGCTCCTATTTAAACTCCTGCTTTATTTTTAGGGAACGGGTACTCAGAGGTACTCTTCCAATGGAAGCAGCAAAGGGCAGTGTTTTGTTTTGGGTTTTTTTTTGGAGGGGGGGAGGGTGTGAATAAAGAAACACAATGCAGAGGAGCAATCAAAAGTGGAAGCTTGTTTAATATTGCTCTACCATCATCCTGAAAGGCATAATAATTTGAGTTACACATCTGAACTGATTGGAGTTACAGAATCATATCTCCTTTTTGCATTTAACAATATATACAATATAAAATAAATACATTTACACAAATGGACATTGGTTGGAGCACACAGTATGGTACACATCACAAAAATATACAATTGATTGCTTTACAGATGTGAAGCCCATCTACAGCTATAGACATGGTTTTATTATTATTATTATTGTTATTATTCTTTTTACTACTGGCTATAATGCAACTCCTGGATTATTATAAGCAGTTTAAATTTTTTGTCCTTTTATGATCTTTGCACATAAGACTGCCATAAAATGTTTTCCTAGGCAGGTAAACAGAGACGCTTAAATAATTAAAATACAATCACCAACACCCATTTTCTCTTCTATAAGAAAAATAGCAGTTTTAAATTTTTTATATCTTTTATGTTATCATTTAAATGCAAAATAGTGGAATAAATACAACAATCTGAGCTGATTGAAACACAAGTGTAACAGCAGGTAGTCACACAATCATATTGCTTTAAATAAGAACAAACTGAAAAAGAAGAAAAATAAAAATTAAAATCATATGGCTAAAACATACACCTTTATAACTTTCCAAAACTTCACATTAAGTAAATGGTCTTGCTTGAAACTCGAGAAAACTTACCTCAAGTGAGGTTTAAGATGGGCATTTGCCCTAAAAGCCCGTGCAGTTCTTTTAAATCTGCGTGTTAGTTTGCGACACCTACTTATGGGGTACTTGTCTCACTTAACCTGAACGCTGAAAGCTGCACTTCCGTCTTCTCACATATCTCCCTCTCCTGTTTTCAGTCGGTTGGCTCTTACTTCTGAAGCCCAAGTACTTTAATGTGATCCAGTAAAAACAATGTATATAGTGTATATACTTTATTTATATATAGTGTGGTTGAATAGTAGCAACTTAAACCCTGCACAGACTTGCTGGAAAATAATCTTTTTAAACACTTACATATATAAATAATCTTATAGAATCAGCACCTTTTTATTTCCCAGGAGTTGGATTTTTTTTCTGTTGTTATTTTTAAAGGGATGTGCCAATTTCTGAACTCCTATCACAGCTATAAATTTCAAGTTATTGACCATCTGAATGAATTGCTAATGATGATTTATCTAGAATCACACTACAGTCACTTCTCTACTGAGAAACCACAATCTACAATATAGTCCCATATAGCTAATGATAGATACACAGTATTTCTAGCATTGGGCTGATGAAACATCAACCCAAGGTATTTTGTTTAAAGCACACAAAGTAGCAAGAGTTTTGGAAACGTATCCGCACCAAAAAGTTTTGCAACAACACAGAGCGAGTTAATAACAACATCTGAGAGATGAGTGAATGAAAGCCATATATACAGCATTTAAAAATTAGACTTATCTATATTCTTGAAATATTCAAAGTTTTATTTCTAAGCTATACATTGGTATTCTATAATAAACCATTAGAGAAATTATTCCTTGTTTTGAAAATATTATTATGATTTTGATGTGTATCTGTTCATAGTGAATACTTGTTTGGAGTTTCAATCTCTTAATTATTATTAGGAAGAACCTTATTACTGGTAAGGAATAGAATATACTACTGTAGTCTCCTGAGGAATTGTACATCCAATATTGTCTCTAATTCTACCCTGTGTCTAAAAGCACACACCACAAGAATCCAAACACCACAAGAAGAACAAGACAAACAGTCTTTGAATGCAACATAAAATTCAGAAAAAGCACAGCAAACATGAAACATTGAAAAGCTGAACTACATTTCTTTTGTTTGTTAGGATTACAATTTTAATTACATCTGTGTACATAGAATAAGACTGTTCACATAGTACAGGGAGCAGCTACTAACACTGGTCCATTGGTATAGCATTTGATGGAGGTTACTATTTCTTCTGGTTCTTGGTTATTCAGTGACTGTAGATTTCGGGGGCATCTAATTGATTTCTTCATTAGATTACACCTCTTAACAGTCTGGAACCTGACTGACTTCCTCGCTGTGACAATGCTGGTTGAAAAGCAGATATATCGGCTTAGCTCTTGCTAAAGACTGCAGGTTAATTTAAACAAACATTCCTAAATGAATCAATTCATGTGGATAGGTTTTAGAATTTGGTCAGGCATCTGTTGTCTTTGATGATTTTGTTGTTGTTGTTGTTGTTGTTCAAATTCTGGCATTTGCCTTATTGCCTCTTAAATGAATACTGGCTCACAGCTCCTTTGGGGGAAAGGTCTTTAACTTTGCCAACAGGCAGGAACTCGTTCCTAACCGCTGTGGCAGGGCAGCTGGGAATCGTATGGCAACTGTGCCCCCCAGGCCGAGAGGCGCACTTCTGAAAATCCTATGGATCTGGGTTCCATGTGCAGTGCTGATATCCGTGACCACCCAGAGTCACTGGTGGTATGATCTAATCCTTTGCGTCAGTGAACATTTAGGTAAACTGGAGCTCATGTTAGGAAATTGATGTTTGGGACCAGACCGGCACACAACATAAATTGCATCCGTGATAATATGCACCTTCCCTTCAACTATTGCTTGAGTAAGTTAAATTCCCATATTAATACATGGCTGAAAAGTGGTAAAGCTGGTACAAAAAAAATCTCCATTTGTAAGAAGAAACAAAACTTTTTTTTTTTTAAAAATCTTCCTTCAGGATTCATTTGTCCTTCATTATTGTCCGTAATTGTTCAAAGCCAGCACAAAATCGCAGTATTCTTATTTCTCTTTAGTATTGCATGAATGAATAAAGCTTAAACTATTCCCTGAAAAAGTTACATAGTAGCTAAACTAACAAATACCTGGAAGACTTGAAAAAACAATTAAGGAATCAAATGGCTGTAACTGATCTAGATGGGAAAGCAATGATGAGAAGCAGCCGATGCAACGTTGCTTAAGTTGTCTAATTAGAGGCTGCTCCCATGAAATCTAATACTGCACTCAGTCAATTCGCTTATGTTGCACTGTACTTTAGGTACGACGGTTCTCTCTTTGATTCCTTAGTCATTGGGGACGTTATGGTTCACAATAAGTTCACTGGCATCCATATTATGGATTTCCATCCTTTGGCAGGGCTGGCTTCCTTCTCTCTCCAATTAGAGACCTCTTTTAAAAGTTCAGCAGCAGGAAGAAGGAAGAAAGGGGGTGAGGAAGGAAGGAAGGAAAGAAAAATTTTCTCACAACTAGAGCTATATAAAATTTAGAAGGGAAGGATGGGAAGAAGGAAAGGAGAGGAAGGAAGGAAGGAAATGAGAGAGGGAACCAGTCATCAAGAAAGCCAAGAAATAAGGAAAAGGAGGAGTAACGAGGGGAGAAAAAAATGAAGAGAAAGAGAAATGAGAAAAAAGGAAAAGATGAGATCAGGTAGAAAGAAATTCATCAGGAAGATACAGAGAAATCCGAAAGCTGCTTCATAGTCTTGCTGCTAAATTATCAGTGCAGTCTTTGTTGATTTTTGATGGTGTTAACTAAACTCTAAGTTTCTTCGACATCACCCTCGGGTTTATTTTCCCTTTTTCAGCGTGCAGGATGGCAAGGCCCAGAAAGCCTTCGGTCAGACCTTGGCCTCCAGCATTTCCAAAAAAAGTTTGTGCATGGGGACTTTGCCTTCGAGTTTGATGTTGTAGAAGTGCTGCACGGCCTTCGTGGACGTCTGCCTCAGCAGGGGCAGCGTCATCAGCATCTTGCCGGCCCTCCGGGGGTCTTCCATGTGCTGCCCGGCTTCGTAATCCTGCAGGGCCTCGTGCAGGACGTCCTGGAGCTTCTGGACGGCTTCCACATCCTCTATGTGCATGGAGTCTGTACCAGGAGGCAAAAAACACAAACCATGCTATTAATAACAACAGAAACCTAAGCATATCAGTGCTACAGAAGTCAAAGGTTATCCTTGAACACCTCTGAGCTCTAAGTAGTGATGTGCTCAGAGGCTCACCCTTCCCAACTCCATTTTGGGGGCCTCAGTTCCCGCCAGGTGATAATATTCATTGCTTACTTAGAACATGGGAATTATTACAGAAGGTCCATTACTGAAAAGGTGTGCAATTTTTTTTTTTCTTTCAAGGCTGACCACGGAGAAGCCTTTCTTCGAACAGAGTACAACCCTGGCTATTGTAGTCATTGCCTCATTCACGTACTTACTCATTCGCTCATTCAACAGTTACGGAAGGCCGTCTACTAAAGGTGTTACTTTCAGTGCTGTCCAGGTAAAGTTGTTTAAAATCCGGACCTTGCCCTGAAAAAGCTCCCATTTCTCAAAAGGAAAGAAAAACACTGATGACCAAGACTTTAAGAATCCCGTGATAATAGCCTGACTCTAACACTGTGTTCAGTTCTAGAGTTGTTAGGGTGCTCTTCATAGCTCCGTAAAAGATCCTGACGTAGTCTGCTTCTCCGCTGACACACGCACAACGCCTTTAGGGAACTGAGGTCTGCATTTAATTTAAAAACCTAATTCCATCAGGCAAGGAAAGGGTTAACAGGGTTGCCACAGTTATTCTTGCAAGAAATGTGGGTGGGGGGATAAAACTTGCAGCTCTAGTTCTAAACCAGACACTTAATTATATACAAGTTTGAATCATTTAGCACGTTTTATTGATTCTGATGACAGTTTATCTGTTAATTACACATAATGGGGTCTTTGGGGGGATTGTGCATGTTTAATAATTCTGCTTCTTGGAGGATGCAGAGTTCTAAGATATATGTAGTTAGCCTGATCTTTCATATAATTCAAACATCAGACTGCATGCACAAAAAGAGAGGAAATGTGATTTAAAATCAAGTGGCTGAACATATAAAAACTATGGCAAAGTCATTAGCTTGACTGCTATTTTTAAATTTTTTTAAAATTTCTTTTTGTTTTAGAGAGGCAGAAGTTAGGGAGAAAACAAGGGAGTGAAACACCGATGTGAGAGAGAAACACCGATGTGAGAGAGAAACATCGAATGGCTGCCTTGCCCTTGTGCCCCAGGTGAGCAGCAAACCTGCAGGCCAGGCAAGTGCTCTGACCGGGAATTGAACCAGTGACCTGCTGGCTTGTGGGCGACACCGAACCCACGGAGCCACCCCAGCTGGGGCAAAAGCTTGACTGCTATTGTAAGTGGTAACATGCTGTGAAATTTTCTTAGTATTCTGTTTATTTTTTCTTTTCTCCTTTTGCATTGTCATTTTGAATCATTTCAGCCACATTACTGGTGAACTGACCACTATTTACATTAGGTGGTTAATGACACATTTCTTCGAAAGAATTTTGAATAGTCTGGAACAGCATTGTGTGTAAGTGTTTACTGCTCAAGGCTTGATCCCTGCCTGAAGGAGCCAAAAGAAGGCATTCTCCCGCGTGGGAAATGGTCGCAGGGGCGCTCCGGAGCGGAGCGCGAGACGTCCTCTAGGGTGTGCCCCGTCTTTCCCTACGCACTGTTTCTTTCTGGGTGTCTCCCCAGCGTGGTCCCTGAATGAAGAGTAATCCTATCTGCGTCCTATGGGACGTGTCTTTAAAACAAGCCCAAGTAATTTTCAGAGTTGTCTGAGGGGTGGCAATACTAGTGCCAAAAAATAGTCACAGAGATGACAGCTCCGTGCTCTGATATTTTGCTGTTTTTGCATTAAATGCTGTCTGCAGGGAAAATGGTGGGCAGGGCATAGCCTAACGGAGAATGTCCAGGCACACAGAAGACTGGCCCGGTGCGTGAGGGGAACGGAGGCGAGGTGGACTTGTCCAGCCTACCCGGGTCCTAAAAGTTAGCACTCTGAGAAAAAACAGAGGGCAATCGAAGGGCAGGAAAAGAGAAAGTGCCTTCTTTATAGACGAAATTAAAACAAAGTAACTATTTCCTGAGCAGAGGGCTCCCACAACAGCAGAGTGGACATCATAAATAGAGCAGGTGTTAAGTCCCTGTTTCAGGCCACCGCGTCGGTTCACCCCCAACGTCCCCGCAAGGCCCGGGGCCGTGGGCGGAAGGGTCGGGGTTAGGCTTAACCTGTTCCTGGGATTCTAGTGTGTTGCCAGAATTGATAACGCTGTACATGACGTTTCCTTTTCTTTTTCTTTTTTTTTTTTTTAAAGGGGTTTAAGTTTCCCCTGAAATCATCTCGTTCACCCTTCCGTCCTCATCAGGAATCTCCTCTACCACAGTTTCGTGAAGGCATTTCCAGTTCTGTGCAGAGAGCGCATTCTACCTGACAAGGAACAGAGCTAGGGATCGGAAATGCCTTCTCTCTTTCCAAATCCGTCTCCGAGTTCCACACCCTGGTCCTGGTCCCAGCCCCGGGAACCCCTCGGGGGGCATTTCCTCCTTCCACAAGGCAGGTCTTTCAACGCGCGAGGCCAGCGGCACAGCCCCTCGGAGCCCACCTGAGCCCCGCCTCCCCCAGGCCCTGGCCCCGCGGGAGATGTATTAGAGGATGTCACAGGAAATGGGGCGAGAACAAATAGCAGAGAGAGGCGCTCACAAACAGCAATTAAGACTTCAAACTATTCTTTAAAGGCTGTGATTTAGCTGCTGAGATTTAAAAATGATTTAATCAAATTACTATGATAATTTAACTTCCCATTTGCAGAAAAAGATTCTAACTCATTTTAGCTTTACCCATTCTCGGATCTGCTAATACTTTAAATGCAAACTCACTAAATCTGAACTATTTAATTAGACCATGATTCAGCTGGCAGACTGCTGAAGAAAATATTAATCTCCATTAGAGATCCTAGTTCAAGTTCTGGCTCTGTAGCTTTAATCTTTGTTTTGTTCTTTTTATAGATTTATGCCAGGCTCAACAGAACTGGCATTCATTTATGTAATTACTTAGCTTTCGTTGTTGGTGATGGTTTTTTTAACTTCATGTGTGTAAAGGAAATAGTCCCAACATTTATGCAAACCCAAACAAACAAACAAAAAAGGCTCATATGCCTAGGCCCACACCCAGACCTATTAAATCAGAAATCAGAAAATTGGGGCTGGATCAGACCATCAGTATCTTTCAAAATCTAGGTGATTCTTTGGCCAAGCTGGGGTTGAGAACTCCTGAACAGATCCTATTTGAAGATACCAAGATTTCAAAAGATAACTAGAGGGTAAGTGAGAGATGTATTATCACCCATATATTAAGTTTCAATACCTAATGGTAAAATAGAACCAATTCATCAACTTCCAATATTTTACTCTCCGAAGTGGGAGCTGAAAGGAATGTGCTTCTCTCCAGTCATGAAACGAGTGACACACACACACACACACACACACACATGCACACGATGGACATACAGGGGAGTGAGAAAAAGCCTTCCCTCTAAGAGAGGACTGGGGTCTCAGAACTTTCCATGCAACATGTAAGGGGTCTGAGAGAGCAGCCCCGGGTTGCAGGGAGCAGAGGTGCCGGCTGAGGCTCTGGCCGTCGGTTCTTGATGAACAGAGGAGTTGGTCCCTCATTTATTTATTTAGTTAGTTAGTTCTCTATTTTAAGCTGCCGATCATACAGTTTTGATTAAAAGTAAACAGACTGGATTCCAGGAAGATGGCAGTAGTGGCAACAAAATATTTTCATCTCTCTAAATCTGCATATGAAAATCAAGAGATCAAGAGAAAAATTGATGGCAACACTAAAAACCCAGAGATATCACTTACAAAAAAAATAGGTGGCAGGGTGTCCCCAAGATACACACACACGCACACAGCGACCTTAACACTCTGTGTGTGTCTGTCTGTGTCCTCGCCTCTGCCCACTGAAGGGGCCCAGGACACATGGCCAACTGAGGGGCGAGGTCATGAGTCATGAGCGACCTAGCACCCAGGTTATAGCTGGGGTCCAGCCCTGGCCCAGAAATATTTAAGATGAGCATGGACCATCTTGGCATGCTAGACAGGAAGGACATTATTAAACTATTAAGTCATTCAAAGGATTCCAGAAGCCAACCTGAAGGCTGGCCCAGCGTAGAACTTCAGCGACGCTAAGGAAAAGCAACGCCTGTGAGCCAAGCTGACTGACCCCACATGGGGCCATGGGAGCTTGAAAAAGGCTTATACTTGCAGTTGGTTAGAATCCATTGAATATGTTTAAATACACATGATTTTAATAACATTAAAAAATAGGGTACCAGTTCTTTACCTTGAGAACTGGTAAATAGAGAGACAGAATCAAGCATTAAGCCTACTTTTCCATGAACCATATCACTGGTAACCAAATACGGGTGAGAAAAAGTATCACTTTACATAAATATCCCAACAACTGAATGAAAAAAGAAATAGTGATATTACAAATCGCCATTTTGCAACTCCGAGTGATGCCTGGATTGAAGTGATGAGCATCAAAGAGAGACACGCAGACATTACATGCTCCCCGGCAAACAACACACCACCCGCAGGTGCCATGGGGATCGAACGCACGTCTAATGAGGTCTCTGGATCCAGATGCTAATTTGCACAAGATGCAAAGGGCAGGGAAGCAGGATGCATTGCTCCCAGAGAATGCGATCTGCCAAGCCCAGGCTGTCTTCTTCAGCAGAGAAGAAAATGGAAGAGGAACTTTCAGATGAAAGGAGGCTTAAAATTTCATAAGAAATTTTTTTAACAGAAGGTTTCTGATGGACCAGACACAACTATTGCATCGGGGGTACATTATTTCCAAAGGAAACCATCACAGAACACCAAGAACTTGATGACTATCAAAGTCAGGACAGGACATAGTTACTTTTGTGGGAAGAGAGGGGCTGGGCTGGGCTGGGACGCACAGGGGTTTCTGGGTCTCTTGCGAAGGTTTAATTCTTGACCTCGCTTTTATTTATATTCATAGTGGAAGGCTGAGAGCTGCGCCTTTGGCGAAACCGAGTGCTTTTACAAGAGGGAGGTAAAGGAAGAAAAAGCCAAGTCGCCCCTGAAGCCAAAGGCTGCACTTGTGGCTTTGAAGACAGAGGAAGGTGCCATGGGCCAAGGAAGGCCAGGCCTGCTGTTATGGAACCTGAAACAGCGAGGTCACGGGCTGTCCCCAGAGGGCCTCCCTGTGGATGCCGTGTCCTCAACCTAGCGAAGCTGATGATGGCCTTCCGACTGCCAGAACTGCAGGGGCGTGGGCACGTGCAAGTTAAAGCCACCGAGTCCTGGCAATCTGGAAAGGCATCTGTAGGAGACTAATACACTCCTTAAGGTATACATTCTTTTCTTGTGTTTTCCCTAATGTGTTGTATTTCCCGTTACATTGTGAAGGAGAGAGAGAGGGGCTGAGAAACTTCTGAGGGAGTCACTCCTTCCAGAAATTAGTGAGTCCAGGAGAGTTCCCATCGAGAATGTGGAAACGCTTGGTGAAAATACCAAGGACACTGTTCACATATCAACTAAGGAGTTGGATCAGATAACTTTTAGGTGTTTGCTAACTCAGAGAAGCTATACTTCTAATGTTGCAAATAGTCACAGTAATTCTGGTTTTGTGCTGAACCATGGTGAGAACTCCTGGCTTCACAGCTCTCCGCTAAGACACACTGGTTTTTTCAGGAAAGCTGTTTTCTGCGTTTCTGGCTCTGGCTATGAAGCCAGGAGTTTACATTTACACCAGCCACGCCAATCGCTCTTATACAAAATTCACATAAAATGGTGAACCACAGAAAGCCCCCGTGGTCCATGGTCTCTTGCCCGCAGGCTTCTCACACAAATCCCAAGTTATTTTACCATTGTTGCGTTTCTCTCACTGAATGAGGCTTTCTTGCTAGATCCTTTCTCTTCCCCTACAAGCACCCAAGGCCTGCTTTCTCCCTCTAGCAGCTTAGGTTTTTCTAGGAGCTTTCTAACTCCATTTACTGGAAAGTGATAAAGACAATTATGTTCAATAAGTGAATGTTGATTCCAACGTGAGTGGTAACCCTTTCAGCTTTCCCCGAATCATAAATGGCCTGCACTGCGGTAATGACCTTTTGTAGCAGATGCTCATTATCTTGAGGCCCGTAAAGGAAAATGATGTTATGCCACCCCTTCGAAGTACAACAGTTGCGAAGTATTTTATATGCTTATTGCCCAGGGTGGAAGTATAGATATACTTGAAGCTAGTATTTCTTTGACTGTGTCAATGCATGGTGATCACAGAGCATGATAAAAAAAAAAAAAAAATCGAGGAACCAGTTTTTATAGTTTTACAAATTTGAAATATAAATATGTATGAAATTTAAGGATTGCATTAAGTTAAAAAAAAAACAAATATCCTAAATAAAATTAAAATAATTCAAACAGTGATGGCAGATTTAAGCAAAAACCAAACAGCAGCAGCGTAAGTAGTTTAAGTGAGCCTCTGAGTTTTGTGTTTTTTATCTTCAAAATTAACTGGAACCATATTTAGGGTTTTCAAATATTTAAATGTAAGAATTACAATATTAGTTCATTATATATATGTATTTACCTTTTTTTGGTCATATACCTGAAGATAGGGACTATATTTCCACTGGTGTTCTGGTGTAGTAACTATTCCTGAATTCAAACATGATAGAAACAAAGCTACAAAAAATATGACAGCCATTATCAGGAAGCCAATTCTCTGTTTCCCAAGCATAAGCACAGCATTTATAATTATTGAATAAAGACAGATGTTTAAAATAAGCTGAAATTTAGATTAATGAGGCAATGGTTGTTAACACCTCCAGCCCATATAGGGGATGCTGAAGGATCTAAAAATAACACTGAAATAGAATTTTTTTTTTTTTGCACAAAAATTTCCTTATGGTGATCTGAAATTTCTAAATACTTAAAGAAAATCTATGAGCTTTTTAGGGTCTCTAAAAATAGTATTACAACATTTCCATATGGATGTATTTATGAGCCTTTTAAGAATCACTGGATCTAAGCAAGATCAAATCTACAGCTTTATCACTGTCCTCCCAATAATGGTCAAACAAAAAAAAAGAAAAGAAAAAAGAAAGGAGTGGCATCATGTACAGTATCAGAGAAAATGCCTTTGAGTCATATATCCCAAGCTAAAATGGTGACGCTTGCAGGTGAGATGGGAGGAGAAAGGCCATGTTTATACAACACAGGGGAGGGGCACCCTCAGGAATAACATGGGCCTTGTGCCCTGAATCAGTTCTCTTTATTATGGAGGCTCACTCAATTTCTATTGGTATCGAGAGGCTAAAAAGACTTAAAATAACACACAGGGAAATTCTGTGACACAGTGAAATTTTCTTAGGAAAAGCAGTGTCACTCAACGCTATAATAAAGGGGAAAAGGTGGGGGGATGTTAATTATTTCTAGCTTTAAACAAGAAAAACTAACTAGTTCTTTAAATACCCTCTAACTGCCAGTCTAAAGTAGGTCACTTCCTCTCCCTAAGGGAAGTGTGTGGGGTTCAAATATTTATTTATAAAAACATGAATGATTATGCTTCCCAACAAGAGACAGAAATGCGGCCACCAAGGCACTCTAAGTCATGATCCGCAGCCAGAAAGTATGCGTCTAACTTCTAACATAAAATACTGAGCAATTTTGATGATTAAATCTTAGCATTGCTCAGCATTCATGATTAGTTAATTACCAAAAAAAAAAGTAATTTGAAACATAAATGATACAAAAACAGGCTTGCTGTACTTTCTGAATAATTATCCAAGTAAATGTTTAAATTTGAATTTCTATATAATTATCAAATAAAAATACTTTCCCAAATCGTTCATCTAATTACAAGAGATTCTGTAAAACGAAGTCTCTGTACACGAAGACATTCCCAGAAAATGTCGATCCCATGTCCCTGTTCGGTTTTCTAGAGAGCAGGCCTGGGGGTTCCTGAGGGTTCGCAACAGCAATGCCATTTGCTATAATGAATCACGTTTTACAGCTTCACAGGGAAGGAGGAGAAAAGAATGGTGGCGTGCGGACGAGAGCTGTATTCACGATGAAAGTGTGAAATGCCGAACTCTGTTACAAAGGCAGATAGGAAAGTACAACTTCATTGTTGAAAACAATTTCCCTCCTATCAGTCCAAGGATTCGTGCATCAATATTGCAGATGAACTGTTAATTACAAAATCAATTAAAAATTATTTCTAAAAACAGTCACGCGTCCCTGGCTCTCATGGGGGCAATTTGGGCAGAAGGTCTCATCTCACTAGGACCGCGCCAAATCACAAAGTCGTCATCCACAACTAAGCAAAAGCAATCTGGTTTTTCATTTTTCAGCGCGGCTGAGCCCAGCCTGAGATTGATCGTCACATATGGCCCCAGAAAACAAACTGTCAATACCTTGAATGCTGCAGAATTTGAACAAATAGCCGTCCGCCCATTCAAGCCACTCATTGCATCCCATTTAACAGATTTTATTGACAGTTTCCTTCTTGTAATTAAAGGGAAAACTACTGGCCGGCAACCAAGATAAAGTTCAAAGATAGGGTCAAAACAAAAGCAGATGGAAAGGCACGGTGTGACTGTCAATGGTACATAGCATCAGAGCATGTTATTGACGTGCAGGTATCTAATGATCGGCACGTCATTAAGGAGGGATGTATCCGGAACTTTATGCAAATGCTAAAACAGACTTAAGACCACAATAAAGCATTCAGAAAGGCACAAAGGGAAAAACAACAAAGCGCCAACGATTTTTACTTATCAGAGGTCGCTCCTTGCTTGAGCATGTTTCAGTTCAAATGTAAAGACTGTTTATTCCCACCATTCTGAGCCCTCGCCGCCTAGGCAGTCAGTCCCTTTGAGAGGAACACTCCCTTAGCAGGATCTGACTTCTAGAGAATTCCAGAAGGTAAGAAAACAGTGGGTATTGATAACCAAAATTAAAAACACCATCAAATATATTTTATTCTGATTTTCTGATTGTAAAATTTGCATTTTTTGAGGGGGAAAAATGGTTTATGTGTATTTGTAATTCACACTTATTTTCCCTTGTGCATACAAAGCAGTGGAGCTAATTCGGTCCTGAGAATGGCCATACACTACACATACTAGTAAACGCATGAGGTGGTGAAAAATTCCTCAGCTTTCAATCAGCAAACCTAATAAAAATAATCCCCCTTCAGCTGATTTTTCTTATTTTTAACTCTTCACTTGAAAGCCATAATGACTCTAATTTTGCTGTTTCATGCACGGATTTGCACTGGGGTCTAGCAAATCTGTCAAGAATGCCAGGAAAGGGCGAAAGTGACATACTCAGAGACGGAACAACGACCGTGTCAACATGCCAACCTGAATTAGCCAGAGCTATCGCTTTGAGGGTGACAAATTCTTCCTTCTCCAGCTTCATGCTCTTGTACTTCTTCACCAGCTGCAGGATGGCATTATTTAGGTCAAGAAGGCCTGCGAGCTTGGACTGGTCTTCATCCATTATATAGTCGTCTGCATAGACAAGTTCATCCTCGAAGGAGAGGGACCGGTACACGACCCCGAGGATCAAGATTTCCATCCAGGCGCTCTGCAGCAGGCTCATCTGGTCGGCCAGGGACAGCGTGGAGAAGCCTGCATGGGAAGAGGGCAGACCTGGTTACTCCAAAGCCACAATTTCAGAATGACATGTTAGTTCCACCCGGTGGGCAGCACCGGCGTTAGGGCTCAAAATCCTGCAGAGTCTCGATCACGTGCTCTTAAACTTTCCCCTGATTATTCTGCGAATGGCAAAGTAAAAGTCACCAACTAGCCTCGACGTGGTGGTGTTTCCCTGACATTTTATAGGTGGGGCTAAAGGGACTACAGTAGAGAAGTTGTTTACTTGAGAAGAAAACACAATGGAATCGATAAATACACTTTTTTTTTTTTTTTGGCTGAAGTCTTAATGACTCATAGAAAGTCATTTTCATGACCTTGTATTTAAAAACTACTACTGATAAACAACATAAAAGTTTCTTTATAAAGAGTCAAAAAAATAAAGGAAAACCAACAATTTAGGTCATATAGTGTACTTAAATTTGGAAAAATTTCTCTACAATAGTCACAGTTACCTTTGTAATTGGGTACTTTGTCCCCAGTAACAGTTAACACGAATTCCTTTTGAAAATGGCGATGGTTGGTATAAAAGTGAGTGGGGCACTTAGCACCCTGACCTCTTCACCAAACAGAAAAGCACGTTTATCCTTGGGATTAAGACGCCGTTGTCTAGGAAGTTAAATGTGGGGCAACGGGGTTCAGTGGAGAGGACGTGAGTGGACCCAGGGCTGAGTGTAAATACTGGCCCCAGAAGCTACCGGGCGTTTCGCCTGGCAGCAGAGAAGTTTCTTGTGCCTTAATTTTTCAATGGAAAATATAAACACCATTCAACAAGACACAAGTTTGTAACATGCATTCAGTAAGTGCAGATACATCAGGTATTTTTTTCTGAAGTACCTGATGACTATTCATAGTCCTTTATGAAAAATCTGGTCTACATTTATACAAGCATGCTTACAGTCCTTTTGAGCTTGAGAAATCATATGCAAATACAGACGTACACACACACACACACACACACACACACACACACACACACTGGCACACACATAAAAGAAAATGAGGTGCAAGAGGAAATGATGAAGTAATACAATTAAGCCTACTTGAGGTCAAGGAATATATTTGTGACTTACAGGAACCAGATCTAAATTCTAAAAGAAATTTAAAGAATAAAGTCTTAGTGAACATAACTGATAATCAGCCACATGCTTTTACCAAGAGGCCTAAAAAAGAAGTTTCATTTTCAACAGTTCCCCTTCATTTCCAAAGTTAGGCCAGGAATAATTCCAAGGGTAACCAATCAAACATTCCCGTGGTCTTCGAGGACAATGGTAACATGATTTAAGGAACTGCTACCAGCAATTCTCCAGAAGAGGAAATTTTTGGACAATGCAACTCATACAATGTATATTTACTCCCCTTCTAGACTTCATTACCCAAATCAAAAATATTCAGTGCCGCCCAGCCTTCTTAGGCTTTTGCTATGGTCTTTGTCGTCGCCACCTTTATCCCTATTAAATTGTTCACATCCCGTGTGACACTGGCAATGACAGCGCAGTCGGGAAAGGAAAGGGGTCCCTGGCCTGACGGTGATAACCAGTCGTTCGCCACGTGACACCATTAGGTAGAAGTGTTTAACCAAATCATCAGGACAGAGTCATCAGGCTTTACTTACGGGGGTCTTCAGGCGTCTGAGAAAAGCATTTTGGTCATTGTTTGTCAAGCCACTGACGTATTACTTGACAGACCTTCCTTTAGACCAGCTGGGTAAGTCTTTTTTCCATTTTTTTTTTTTTGTCTCTTCAGTGTGGGGTTGTATCAATAAATATCCTCAAAAAATTAGCTATAACAATTGCTATTTTAGAAAGGGATTCAGAAGGGAAAAATAATGATCTCTTGTGAGTAGGTTTGGCTCCTTTAGCTTTTGGTTTTGAGAAGGTCACACTCACCACAAACAAACAAACAAACAAACACAAACAAACAATATTGCTCTATTTTCTGCCACCCTTCCCCAAGAAGACGAGGCCACGCACATCCAAAAATCTTTCAAGAAGAGGGCCTGCGCAGGACTTTCTTTTATAGATTAAATGGATGAAAAATTAAACAGTCGTCCAGGAAGGTAGGACCAAAAAGGCATTTTCAGTCTGCCTGTCTCTCTCCTCCTCCTCGTGTCCCCACCAGCCGCCTCTCTGCAGCAGCAGATGGACAGAGCACATCGCCCGCAGCCCCTTCCTGTGACGGCCCCATTCTCCCTCTGTTAGTAAATAGATTTACACATTCTCCAATCTCCACACATCTTTCTGCCGAATAATTAAAAGCAGGATGATTAGTTTATTGAGTGGAAGGAGGAACTTTTTTATTGAGGTCCGTCCACGATTTTATCAGGGCCAGCACTTTTACGGTTGTCAGGAGGGTCCAGGCTTCCAATTTTTCTTATCTGCCTGATTAATACAAACGCTGTTTCAGGACGCATTAATTAACAGATACAAATCTACGTCCTCATGGAAGGATCAATACGGAGAAGAAAAGAGGCATCAATGTGAATTTAGTGCTGATGATGGAGAAGGCCCGCTATCGACATTTACGTGCACGGAAACTTGAAAGTTGCTCAGGCCCCTTTGTCCCTGCGATTTACAAATGAACAATTTTTCAGCCATAACAGTGTTTCACATATTTCTTTGGGGTTTCATTAACCAAAAAAAAAAAAAAAAAAGCAATAAAAGTTCCTTTTTTTTTTTTAAGGTGGATCTTGTAATTTGTTTCTTTTATGCTGGTGGGAGGTGGGGGCGGGGGCAGGGGTGAGAGAGAGAGAGAGAGAGAGAGAGAGAGAGAGAGTGTGTGTGTGTGTGTGTGTGTGTGTGTGTGTGTCTATAAACCTAACTTTTCCCCTTTCCTCTTTCACTTCTTAATAAAAAAAAAAAGATGGGGAAAAATAAAGAAAGGTTCTACTTTTTGGAGGGACGGGGTCAGGGAGGATGGGAAGATGGATATAACATAAAAGGTTGGACAACTTTACTTGCTTGCTGTCTTCGGGTCTATTTCAACTGATTAAAGGAGGTGTAGTTTTTGCAAAACAATAGGGAAGCAACAGTCCACACTTTACACAACAGAAATACAAGTCTGGACTTTTATCTCTTCTAGGTCTAGAAATAGCTGAATCTCTCAACACATTAACCCTTTCCTAGCTCTCCTCTGCACTCGAGAAGTTAGCATAGAAAGCTCTCCCGACCAAATGCCCAGGTAACCGCCTTATTATGAGATAGCTGTGCTCACCTGATCACTAAGGAAGCTGAACACATAACAGAGATTATATCTGCATTCCATAAAGTTCATCTCCCTGCCCTTCAGGAGTGCTAGCTACATTTTACAGACAGACACATGGATACAATACTATTTTTATCCATAGATCTGAGCTAAGTATAAAAACCTAAATGACCATGATCTCAATCAAAAACACACCTTTCAATAAACTCAAATAAAAGTCAAAGGGACTTTGTAAACATGCTATGGCTCTATTGGCACACACATGCTTGCATCTGAATGGTGATTACTTGTCTGCGCTTTTACCAGCATTTAGTGGCGTTTTACAGCTATTGGTCTAGGAGTTAGAGGTCCCAACCATCTATAACATTTAGCTATCTTTGGAGAGAAACCTCTTTCCCAAGTGAAATGAAATATGCTCTGCAGTTGTGTCGTTTGAACTTCACGTTTTGTACATGCCGGGATCTTAATCTTTGGCGTGTGACAGGTTATAGTTTTAAACGTTCAGCCGTATTACAGCTTTTTAAAATACACTGATACCACGGCACATTTTTTTCTCCCCCAGCTGCAGCCTGTTCCACGCGCGCCGCTGACAACGCTGATCTCCCTTCATCTCTGTCCTGGAGTCGTGCCATTTAATGTATCTCGGGCATTTTGCTAGCAGAGTGACTCTCTACCTTGACCCGCAGTTAAATAGCGTGTTTATCTGTGATACAGTGTGCTCCAAATAAACCAGATGACAGTTGGGAATAACATCATTTGGGAGGATTGAAAAGCTGCTCAAGAGGCAGGTACCCCTGAAGTAAGAGGCTTGGAGAAGTATGTTTTGTGCCACCCGCCTCCTGGAGACTTCGGAGGATGACAGAGGCGCCCTGGGCACTTGTCACATACCTTTTTTTTTTTCCCCTTAGCCTGGCAAACGGATGCACTTTGCAGTCGACTTACAAAAAAGGCTAAGCATTTGAAAGTGTGAAGGGCAAAAAGTATCTGACGGCTAGTCTTCAAAAATACACTTTCATTTCAGAAAGCATAAATGTTTATTTCCTGATCGGAGTGTTGACAGAAGTAGGCTGCGGTGCACTCGGTGCACACATTTGGGTTTAACCCCTGCGAGGCATCTTCTTCCCGGCCGCTCTCCCGAAACAGAGAGCAAGCGTCGCCAGGCTTCAGGGCGTCTGTTAATATCAGTTAATCATGGCATGGATTTGGCCGCTCACCGTTTCCGAACGGCAGTTTCTCTGTTCCACAAAAAACCGACACCTTTCAACAAATAGCATATCATGCTAGAATTATAACGATGCCATAATGACTCACTAGGACACAAACGAAGTTCATCGAGAGAAGCTGACTGAGCAACATGGCAGAAGCGAGATGCTTCCTCTCCCACACAGACCGACCCGATGTCTACAGGCGCTGGCGGAGAAAAGAATAGCAACGGTGTGGAGATTTGGTCTTTGCTACCAAAGGATGCACAGATGCATAACCCTTGTTAGAGATAAACTTACTCTACTTCTAAGCCAGTCGATTTTGTCACCTGACCAAACATATGTTCTAAGATTCAGAAAACACAGCTCTGGGGCCTGTAGTATGTGTGTGTGCATATACTACCGTCGTATATGAAGAGCTTTCGCTTTGTTTTTGTTTTCATAGGCACAGACTTCATAGACTAGCTCTCCAAAGAGGCCCGAGTTAAGCAGCTACAGAGGTCAAGGTGACGGCTCGAATATCTACCTGGTGCATTTGGAACCATTTTATTTAAAAAATCTTTAAAAGGG